GATCTATCTGTAATGTTCTGTTCTATGGTCATATAATTGTCTACATAAACAGACGACGCGGACTACTTCTCTCATTCCGAGTGTCCATCTTTATTAAACTCACGTAACCTGCAGACATGCATTACGTCCTCAAGTGAGCTCAGTCATCCAAGATCTTGTATTCTCCAATATGTTACACTATCTATAACTATCTATCTGTCTATCTCTCTCTCTCTATCCATCTATCAATATATCTATCTATCTATCTATCTATCTCTAAGGAACCGCAGTAGACAAAAGGCGTTGCTATAGCAACACGTCATGTTTACGCTGCATTTTCTATGAGGTAAATATTACCCGCTGGCGGATATAGCCTAGGTATAAATGGCAATTTTTTTGGCGATTTTTTCAATCTGACTTCATATTGACAATTGTTAACAACAGAGGGTGCTACATAACACACTTTCAGGAAAAGTCACGGACTGGGAGACTTTAATATGTTATTGAAAACAAGTTACATACAATCAAAAAACAGCTGCGGGTAAAATGTACCCGTTGGCGGTTCTAGTGTTAATTGAACACAACTTTTGATCAGAACACAGCAAAGGTATAAGACAATGTCCCGTTTTTGCGCCATAAAGCTCCGTGTTGTGATGTCTGTGTTGGTCTCCCCTGTCGCGAGTTCTGATCGCTCAGTGATGATACTTACACCCCTAGAATCCGTGGAATCTCAGCTTGCTAATCGATATCTGGTTTGTGCAGATCCGATATGTAATAAGGGTATTTATACCTAGAGTTCTGTGTGTTAGTATTTTTTCGCTCAGGGCTCATTTAGACACTTCTTGTGAGACTTGTGTTTTGTTTCGGTAAAATTGTTCGTATCGTCAGTTAGCTGAGTTTCTTCCCGTTAAGTGGGTATGACACATTCCTAGGTTTTGAAATGTTGGTTGAACAGATTAAAAACAACAACTTTGATTTATTAGACGATTCGCTCACTACTTCTCACTGCGAAACACCCAAAAAAATCACATTTGACAAAAGTGTCATGTTTTTGTATATGTAAGTTACAGACTTCTCTTTCCCACCGTAAGTCTATCTGAAACAGTATTTTAATTCCATAATTGGCTTTAAAGCCCAGCACTGATCAACATTGGCGAATGACGCTTGGGGATTGTATAGTTTGTATTGCTGACCTAAAGATGATCACCGTCAGTTCAGCCGGACCAAACGCCAGGTTGGGGGCTAAGCTAACCCAGCTAGCTGAGGCTATTCCACTTCAGAGCCTGCATCTGGAGGATGAAGGAAAAATACAACAGGGATGAAAAAGCCCGAGGCTAAACCAGCAAGAGATTAGAAACTGCTGCGCTCACATCCCAGATAAAGCTGTTGCACAGGACAGAGAGGATTAGATGGACTTTACTAAAGTGTCGTGGTGACTCTCCAATGTCTGGAAAGACCACGTTGAGCATATCTGTAAAAGGACAACAACAAAAAACACTCTTTCACAGTGT